CATGTATACATTGTACACCAACAACAAACAACAACATGTATACATTGTACACCAACAACAACATGTATACATTGTACAACAACAACAACAACAACTGTATACATTGTACACCAACAACAACATGTAATACATTGTACACCAACAACAACATGTATACATTGTACACCAACAACAACAACACATGTATACATTGTACAACAACAACAACAACATGTATACATTGTACACAACAACAACAACAACATGTATACATTGTACACCAACAACAACACATGTATACATTGTACAACAACAACAACATGTATACATTGTACACCAACACACAACAACATGTATACATTGTACACCAACAACAACATGTATACATTGTACACCAACAACAACAACATGTAATACATTGTACAACAACAACAACATGTATACATTGTACACCAACACAACAACAACAACAACATGTATACATTGTACAACAACAACAACACATGTATACATTGTACACCAACAACAACAACATGTATACATTGTACACCACAACAACAACAAACATGTATACATTGTACACAACACAACAACAACATGTATACATTGTACACCAACAACAACATGTATACATTGTACACCAACACAACAACAACATGTATACATTGTACACCAACAACAACAACATGTATACATTGTACACCAACAACAACAACATGTATACATTGTACACCAACAACAACAACATGTATACATTGTACACAACAACAACAAACATGTATACATTGTACACCAAACAACATGTATACATTGTACACCAACAACAACATGTATACATGTTGTACACCAACAACAACAACATGTATACAACATGTATACATTGTACAACCAACAAACACAACATGTATACATTGTACACCAACACAACAACAACATGTATACATTGTACACCAACAACAACAACATGTATACATTGTACACCAACAACAACAACATGTAATATACATTGTACACAACAAACAACAACAACATGTATACATTGTACACCAACAACAACAACATGTATACATTGTACACCAACAACAACATGTATACATTGTACAACATGTACACAACAACAACATGTATACATTGTACACCAACAACAACAACAACATGTATACATTGTACACCAACAACAACAACATGTATACATTGTACACCAACAACAACAACAACAATGTATACATTGTACACCAAACAACAACAACAACATGTATACATTGTACACCAAACAACAACAACATGTATACATTGTACAACAACAACAACAACATGTATACATTGTACACCAACAACAACATGTATACATTGTACCACCAACAACAACATGTATACATTGTACATACAACAACAACAACAACATGTAATGTATACATTGTACACCAACAACAACAACATGTATACATTGTACACCAACAACAACATGTATACATTGTACAACAACAACAATTGTATACATTGTAACAACAACCAACACAAAACATGTATACATTGTACACAACAACAACAACATGTATACATTGTACACAACAACAAACAACATGTATACATTGTACACCAACACAACAACAACATGTATACATTGTACACAAACAACAACATGTATACATTGTACACCCAACAACAACAACATGTATACATTGTACACCAACAAACAACAACATGTATACATTGTACAACAAACAACAACAACATGTATACATTGTACACCAACAACACAACATGTATACATTGTACACCAAAACAACAACAACATGTATACATTGTACACCAACAACAACATGTATACATTGTACAACAACAACAACAACACATGTATACATTTACACAACAACAACAACAACATGTATACATTGTACAACAACAACAACAACATGTATACATTGTACACCAACAACAACACATGTATACATTGTACACCAACAACAACAACAACAACATGTATACATTGTACAACAACAACAAACATGTATACATTGTACACCAACAACAACATGTATACATTGTACACCAACAACAACAACATGTATACATTGTACACCAACAACAACAACATGTATACATTGTACACCAACAACAACAACATGTATACATTGTACAACAAACAACACACATGTATACATTGTACACCAACAACAACAACATGTATACATTGTACACCAACAACAACAACATGTATACATTGTACAACAACAACAACATGTATACATTGTACACCAACAACAAACAACATGTATACATTGTACACCAACAACAACAACATGTATACATTGTACACCAAACAACACAACATGTATACATTGTACACCAACAACAACATGTATACATTGTACACCAACAACAACATGTATACATTGTACAACAACAACAACATGTATACATTGTACACCAACAACAAACATGTATACATTGTACACAAACAACAACATGTATACATTGTACACCAACAACAACAACAACACATGTATACATTGTACAACAACAACAACACAACAACATTGTACATTGTACAACAACAACAACATGTATACATTGTACACACAACAACAACAACATGTATACATTGTACACCAACAACAACATGTATATACATTGTACACCAACAACAACAACATGTATACATTGTACACCAACAACAACACATGTATACATTGTACACCAACAACAACAACATGTATGTTATACATTGTACACCAACAACAACATGTATACATTGTACACAACAACAACATGTATACATTGTACACCAAACAACATGTATACATTGTACACCAACAACAACAACATGTATACATTGTACAACAACAACAACAACATGTATACATTGTACACCAACACAACATGTATACATTGTACACAACAACAACATGTATACATTGTACACCAACAACAACAACATGTATACATTGTACACAACAACAACATGTATACATTGTACACCAACAACAACATGTATACATTGTACACCAACAACAACAACATGTATACATTGTACACCAACAACAACAACAACATGTATACATTGTACACCAACAACAACAACATGTATACATTGTACACCAACAACAACATGTATACATTGTACACCAACAACAACAACATGTATACATTGTACACCAACAACAACAACATGTATACATTGTACACAACAACAACAACATGTATACATTGTACACCAACAACAACAACATGTATACATTGTACACCAACAACAACAACATGTATACATTGTATATAATGAGGATGATAATAATCCGGGTCGATGAATGTCAGGCTTTTGGGCTGATCCTGTAGAGAGGAGAGGGAGATGTGCGTCTGGTGAACATGTGATCAGTGAATGTGTGTCCAGTGAGACAGAGGGACCCCTGAAACAGCGGGGCCCCATTCCTGGGACAGATGGGCCACCGAGACAGATGGACCCCTGAGACAGAGGGCCCACCGAGACAGAGGGACCCCTGAGACAGAGGGGCCCCATTCCCAGGACAGAGGGCCCACCGAGACAGAGGGACCCCTGAGACAGAGGGGCCCCATTCCCGGGACAGAGTGGCCACTGAGACAGAGGGACCCCTGAGACAGAGGAGCCCAATTCCTGGGACAGAGGGGCCACCGACACAGAGGGACCCCTGAGACAGAGGGGCCAAATTCCTGGGACAGAGGGGCCACCGACACAGAGGGACCCCTGAGACAGAGGGGCCCCAATCCCAGGACAGAGGGGCCACCGAGACAGAGGGACCCCTGAGACAGAGGGGCACCAATCCCAGGACAGAGGGGCCACCGAGACAGAGGGACCCCTGAGACAGAGGGGCCCCATTCCCAGGACAGAGGGGCCACAAAGACAGAGGGACCCCTGAGACAGAGGGGTCCCATTCCCAGGACAGAGGGGCCACAAAGACAGAGGGACCCCTGAGACAGAGGGGCCCCATTCCCAGGACAGAGGGGCCACAAAGACAGAGGGACCCCTGAGACAGAGGGGTCCCATTCCCAGGACAGAGGGGCCACAAAGACAGAGGGACCCCTGAGACAGAGGGGCCCCATTCCCAGGACAGAGGGGCCACAAAGACAGAGGGACCCCTGAGACAGAGGGGCCCCATTCCCAGGACAGAGGGGCCACAAAGACAGAGGGACCCCTGAGACAGAGGGGTCCCATTCCCGGGATGAGGGATTCACGCAGGGAGTGTGATGATCTTTGAATACAGGAGACAATCCACACCGACTTCTGCTGGGTCGTCCCCCCCCCCAGTGTCCCCACTTCAGTGCCCCTCGTGCCCCCCCCAGTGTCCCCCCTTCAGTGCCCCCCCCATGTCCCCCCCAGTGTCCTCCCCCCTAATGTCCCCCCCCTAGTGTCCCCTTTATACCTGAAGGGGGGGATTATGGGTAGTGCCTCCTATAGTATAGTACAGTATGGGGGGGGAGGGGTCACCAGCAGCACACGGTCCCTCCTGGGTTCAGCTTTCCTCCCTCCATGTCGGAGGAGTCTGAGGCGGATCAGACCAGTTCTGTCCTCCCTGATCCTGGAACACAGCGTACAGGTGAGAACCGGAGGAGGAGACACCTTTCACCGGGGTCACCTGTCTACCATGACCCCCCCCCCCCCCGCACCACAGGAGCTGACACTCTAATGTCCTCTCCCCCACAGTCCCAACCGTCTCTGTACCAGAGGAGCTTACACTCTAATGTCCCCTCCCCCACGTTGGTGGGAAGTCGATGAATTGTACAGAATAGAGGATCCTGAATGTATGGGGGGGGGGGGGGATGTCAGATATAATAAGATAGGAGCTCCGACCTCAATAAGCCCCCCCCCCACGCAGATGTCAGGTGTCAGGTGAGTGGGCAGCCAGGTGAATCGGCATTCCACGGATCTGGATCGTCCTAAGAGCCAACTGGGGACAGCGAGCCCAACACCAACCAGGCAGGAGACAGTTCATCATAGACAACAACAGAGAGAAGGTGCAGGGGGAGACTACAAACTGGCCCTGTACCTGGAGGGGCTACAGAACCCCAGAGACCGGGGGGGGTAAACTACAAACTGGCCCCATACTTGGAGCGGCTACAGGACCCCAGAGATCAGGGGTGGGGGGGGGAGACAACAAACTGGCCCCATACCTGGAGGGGCTACAGGACCCCAGAGACCTGGAGGGGGGGGGAGGGAGACTACAAACTGGCCCCATACCTGGAGGGGCTACAGGACCCCAGAGACCAGGGGTGGGGGGGGGGGGGAGACTACAAACTGGCCCCGTACCTGGAGGGGCTACAGGACCCAAGAGACCGGGGGTGGGGAGACTACAAACTGGCCCCGTACCTGGAGAGGCTACAAGAGCCGGTTCACCTGTGCAAGACTGAAGGGGCGGAACCAGTACACCTGTGCAAGACTGAAGGGGAGGAGCCGGTACACCTGTGCAGGACTGGAGGGGCGGAGCCGGTACACCTGTGCAGGACTGGAGGGGCGGAGCCGGTACACCTGTGCAGGACTGGAGGGGCGGAGCCGGTACACCTGTGCAGGACTGGAGGGGCGGAGCCGGTACACCTGTGCAGGACTGGAGGGGCGGAGCCGGTACACCTGTGCAGGACTGGAGGGGCGGAGCCGGTACACCTGTGCAGGACTGGAGGGGCGGAGCCAGTACACCTGTGCAGGACTGGAGGGGCGGAGCCGGTACACCTGTGCAAGACTGAAGGGGCGGAACCGGTACACCTGTGCAAGACTGAAGGGGAGGAGCCGGTACACCTGTGCAGGACTAGAGGGGCGGAGCCGGTACACCTGTGCAGGACTGGAGGGGCGGAGCCGGTACACCTGTGCAGGACTGGAGGGGCGGAGCCAGTACACCTGTGCAGGACTGGAGGGGCGGAGCCAGTACACCTGTGCAGGACTGGAGGGGCGGAGCCAGTACACCTGTGCAGGACTGGAGGGGCGGAGCCAGTACACCTGTGCAGGACTGGAGGGGCGGAGCCGGTACGCCTGTGCAAGACTGAAGGGGAGGAGCCGTACACCTGTGCAAGACTGGAGGGGAGGAGCCGTACACCTGTGCAAGACTGGAGGGGAGGAGCCAGTACACCTGTGCAGGACTGGAGGGGAGGAGCCAGTACACCTGTGCAGGACTGGAGGGGAGGAGCCGGTACACCTGTGCGGGACTGGGGGGGAGGAGCCGATACACCTGTGCGGGACTGAAGGGGAGGAGACGGTACACCTGTGCAAGACTGGAGGGGAGGAGCCCATACACCTGGGCAGGACAGAAGGGGAGGAGCCCGTACACCTGTGCAGGACAGAAGGGGAGGAGCCCGTACACCTGTGCAGGACAGAAGGGGAGGTGCCCGCACACCTGTGCAGGACAGAAGGGGAGGAGCCGGTACACCTGTGCAAGACTGGAGGGGAGGAGCCGGTACACCTGTGCAGGACTGGAGGGGAGGAGCCGGTACACCTGTACAAGACTGGAGGGGAGGAGCTGGTACACCTGTGCAGGACTGGAGGAGAGGAGCCGGTACACCTGTGCTGGACTGGAGGGGAGGAGCCGGTACACCTGTGCAGGACTGAAGGGGAGGAGTCGGTACACCTGTGCAGGACTGAAGGGGAGGAGCCGATACACCTGTGCAGGACTGGAGGGGAGGAGCCGGTACACCTGTGCAGGACTGGAGGGGAGGAGCCGGTACACCTGTGCAGGACTGGAGGGGAGGAGCCCGTACACCTGTGCCGGACTGGAGGGGAGGAGCCTGTACACCTGTGCAGGACTGAAGGGATGGATCTACTGTGAGGTCACAGGGCAGTACGGTGACATCAGAAGAATGTGAAGAACTTTTTTAGGAACCAGGCCAGAGATTCAGATGAAAGGAGGAAAGACTCGGGCGGAGGACAAGACTGGCTCTGCAAGGGGCCACATACACTGCCCTGGGGTCATGATGGCCACTCTGGGGGATGGGAGGTGGCTGCAGATAGATCAACCCAATGTCCAAAACCTTTGAATGTTAGGAATCAAGAACAAGTCCTATGACGTAGTTAGAGTGACCTAGACGTGGGTTCAGTGGAGTGTCGGTCTCCTATGAGTAAGACTCAAACATCCCAGATTTAGAGATCCAAAGTTCCACATTTCCGTCTCAGGAGGAGGAATGAAAGGTAAGTTGGTGTAGGTGCAACCACAAAGGAAGATGGGGAGGCAAGGGGGAAACGTAGGGTGGAGGAGGCAGAAGAGTCATAGCTTTGCCTCAAGTTATAGACCTCACACCTAAAGCTTTGACCTCTTACCATGTTGGTTGGATCGAGAGGTCCACCTGGCTGAGATGCTTTGATCTCTTGCCCTGTTGGTTGGATCGAGAGGTCCACCTGGCTGAGATGCTTTGATCTCTTGCCCTGTTGGTTGGATCCAGAGGTCCACCTGGCTGAGATGCTTTGACCTCTTACCATGTTGGTTGGATCAAGAGGTCCACCTGGCTGAGATGCTTTGACCTCTTACCATGTTGGTTGGATCGAGAGGTCCACCTGGCTGAGATGCTTTGATCTCTTGCCATGTTGGTTGGATCGAGAGGTCTAGGAGGTCGAGGCGCTTTGACCTCTTGCCATCTCAGTTGAATGGAGAGGTCCACAAGGTCAAGGTGCTTTGACTTTTGCCATATTGGCTGAATAGAGAGGTCCCGAAACTGAAGGTGCTTTGTTTCCTTGCCATGTCAGTTGGATGGAGAGGTCCACCAGGTTGATGTGCTTTTGCCATATTGATTGGATGGAAACATCCAGCAGGTCTAGGTCCAATGATTTCTTGCCATGCTGGTTGGATGGAGAGGTTCAGTTGGTGAAGGTGCCTTGGCTCTTGCCATGAAAAGTATGGTGGAGGAGATAGACGATTCATAGTCACCATTCAAGATCTGAGGGAGCTTTGTCTTGGGTTATAGATTTCAAACCTAGAGCTTTGGCCATGTTGGCTGAATGGAGAGATCTAGCTGGTGAAGGTGGTTTGACTTCTTGCTGTCTTGTTTGGATAGAGCAGTCCAGCAGGTCAAGGTGCTTTGACGTCTTGTCTTCTTGTCTGGATAAAGAGGTCCAGCAGGAGAAGTTGCTTTGGCAACTAGCTGTATTGGTTGGATGGAGAGGTCCAGCAGGTCAAGGTGCTTTGACCCTAGCCATAGCCAGCTGGATAGATCGGTCCAGCAGGTCAAGGTGCTTTGACCCTACCCATGCCAGCTGGATAGAGCGGTCCAGGAGGTCAAGGTGATCAGACTTTCATGGGAGTGATGGGACTTAGATATCCAGCAACAAACAAAAGTCCTTAAATTCCTCTCGGTAACATAGGGGACAAACCTGCCATTTTCGCATGTGAAAAGGGTGAAGGGGTATCTCCATCAGTAGGCGACTCCTTGATTAGGGTGTAAATCTTGTAGAGGTTACAAGGTCCTCCTTCACATTAGCGTTTTCTGCTGCCATATCTGGATAGACGGTGAAGAGGCCAATTTGGGGGATGTCCCTAACATTGTGAAGGATCATTTCTATCTCTTCCTAACAGTGAAGATGACATTGTCCATCTCACGGCTTTCCAGATTGTAGTCCGGATGTTCTCGGTGTTCCATGCACTCTATCAAGGCAGGGGTCAGCTTAGGCTGGCCTTCCCAGTTCCCACTAATGACATCAGCCAAGTCGGGGTCTCCGGTAACTTCAGGAAGACCCCCAAAGTGGTGAGATCGATTTTCATGATCTATCAGATGTTTGCTGCGACTGGCTATGAGAAGTTCTTGATATGAAGTGTTTTAGATCTCTTCTCAGTGAGGAGGCCTCAGTTCTCCGTGTAGTTGTGAGATGTTCCTCTAGGCCTTCAGGACATGGCTGCTCAGGCCTCCCACCCCAGTATCAGATCCCTGCATTGAGGAACATGGGCCTCTGGGAAACCAAAATCTGTACACCCCCATTTCCACCCTCTCATCCCCCCTGTCTGAGGCTCTGGCTGGGATCTGGCCAGGCTGCGGGTTTCTGTGGTCAAGTATTGTGTTTGTGGTCAGGACAGCACTGGGGAGGAGACTTTGGACCCTTTTCTGGTCCTGTGTGTAGACGGGTGGATTTGGGGTATTTGCCCCTGATAGTGGGTGGAGCCATGAAGATCAATCTTTGATACCCCTTTGGTCATCAGAACATATGGAATATATCGGAGCCTCATTCTTCGTACTGTGGTCCACAGGAAGGTGAGGAGGATGAGGAAGGTGAGGAAGATGAGGAGGATGAGGAAGGTGAGGAGGGTGAGGAGGATGAGGAAGGTGAGGAGGGTGAGGAGGGTGAGGAGGGTGAGGAGGATGAGGAGGATGAGGAAGGTGAGGAAGATGAGGAGGATGAGGAAGGTGAGGAGGGTGAGGAGGATGAGGAGGTGAGGAGGGTGAGGAGGGTGAGGAGGGTGAGGAGGATGAGGAAGGTGAGGAAGGGAGGTGGAGGGTGAGGAGGGTGAGGAGGATGAGAGTGAGGAAGGTGAGGAGGATGAGGAAAGTGAGGAAGATGAGGAAGGTGAGGAGGACAAGGAAGGTGAGGAAGGTGAGGAGGACGAGGAAGATGAGTAAGGTGAGGAGGGTGAGGAGGGCGAGGAGGGCGCGGAGGGCGAGGAGGGCGCGGAGGGCGAGGAGGGTGAGGAGGGCGAGGAGGATGAGGAAGGTGAGGAAGGTGAGGAGGACGAGGAAGGTGAGGAAGGTGAGGAAGATGAGGAAGGTGAGGAGGGTGAGGAAGGTGAGGAGGGTGAGGAAGGTGAGGAGGACGAGGAAGGAGGGGGGAGGACGAGGAAGGTGAGGAGGAGGAGGTGAGGAAGGTGAGGAGGGTGAGGAAGGTGAGGAGGGTGAGGAAGGTGAGGAGGTGAGGAGGTGAGGAAGGTGAGGAGGACGAGGAAGGTGAGGAAGGTGAGGAGGAAGAAGGTGAGGAAGGTGAGGAAGGTGAGGAGAGGTGAGAGTGAGGAGGAGGAGGACAAGGAGGGTGAGGAAGGTGAGGAGGATGAGGAGATGAGGAGGGTGAGGAGGCTGAGCAGAGCTGAAGGTGGCAGAATGGAAGGTGTGTTGGGGCCTCCTGTAGTGGCCGTTGATCACCGCCGCCTCTCCCTCTCATGAATGGACTGCAGTTGGCAGTTGTGCGATGTCAGCAATCCTCTCCCCCTCCCCCCTCCACTCTGCTCACTGCAGATCTGCAGCTCAGATCTCCAACCGCCTCGGCCCTCACCTGCCGCATGCTGACAACGCTGGGAGTGAAGAATGCTGCCTTGGGAGGGGGGCAGACAAAGCGTGGGACAGCATGACTCCGAGAAAATGGCAGTTCAGTCCGCAGGCTGGAAAGGGATGAAGGTGGCATGTGGAGTGACCCCGAAAACTCCCCCACACTATGACCCCGCAACCCCCCCACACTATGACCCCCCCACACTAACACCCCACACTACATCCCCGCAACCCCCCCCCACACTATAACCCCTTACACTATAACCCCCCACATTATGACCCCCACAACCCCCCACACTACAACCCCGCAACCCCCCCCACACTACAAGCCCACAAACCCCCCCCCCCACACTATGACCCCCCACACTACAACCCCGCAACCCCCCCCCACACTATAACCCCCAACATTACGACCCCGCAACCCCCCCACACTACGACTCCCCCACACTAAGACCCCGCAAACCCCCCCACAGTATGACCCCCTCCACTATAACCCCCACACTATGACCCCCACCACTACAACCCCGCAACACCCCCCCCCCCAAAACCCCCCCCCCATATCAGTGTCATTCAGTGAGGGGGTCCCAGTGTCATTCAGTGGGGGGGTCCCAGTGTCATTCAGTGGGGGGGTCCCAGTGTCATTCAGTGGGGGGGTCCCAGTGTCATTCAGTGAGGGGGTCCCAGTGTCATTCAGTGGGGGGTCCCAGTGTCATT